CAAAAGAGCAACCAAAAAAATGACCAATACAGCAACAACGCAAGGAAAAAAGATCCATTTACATCAGTTTTGCGTAGGTCTTGGCCTTCAAATGAGCTCCAGGCAAGAAGCTTTCAAATTTGGGTAAAGCTGAACTGGAGAAAGTGCACGGGGGGGGGGGGGGGGGGGGGGGGGGGGGGGGGGGAGGGGGGGGGGGGGGGGGGGGGGGGGGGGGGGGGGGGTAAGTGGTTAACAAAAGTCTTCCAGAAACACAGAGATTTCTGGGCTGTCAGTCACACACTCTTTTGGAGGTCTGGAAGACTTTTGTTTGAGAGTGAGGGGTAAAACCCTTTAAACTACAACTGAAAGTCTCTTTGCTGCCTAGAAAAGAGTTTAAAGCTGTGATACTTGCCAAATTTGGGGTCTATGAGACATTAATTTTGCAGGGTAACAAAACATTTGCTCCAGCCTTTGTTTCTTTTAACATTTTAAAATGTAAATGATGGAATTAAAACCTTTTTTTTTTTTTTACTAAAATGCTATGTGAATGTCTCATCTACAAGCTTATGCTTTTTGACAATTGACATATGGTCATTCTATTTTCTCTACATGTACCTGAGAGCGGAGGAGTTTAAGGAGCAGACCATCGTTTTTCAATACTGAGATATGTTCAGACCCGAGCTTACTGACTGAGCGCACGCACAAAGACCAGACAGGTACGCATCAATTTGTCTAAGCTCAGGTAAGAACATGTCTCAGTCTGGAAAAATGGTGGCCTATTCCATTACAGGGTTAACGACAGTGCTGTTCTTAAACTGACCTAAAGGAGAGGCTTAAAGTACAAGATATATACTAGTACTTAAATGTCTACAACATTTAGAAGCGCACTTCGTCAGGACAAATATGCCGTCTAACTGAGGTTACCTCATCAAAATGACGAATTATCTCCGCAGCTTTTGCTCCAGCAGATCCCCCCTTCTTTCTTGAAGCTTCCAGAAGTTTTGAAGCATGTCTGTCAAGTTGTGCGAACAAAGTAGATTCTAATGGGCGAGTGGTGATGCGGACAAACTCTGCATTAACCTTTAAATACAGTAATAAAACGTTAAAACCACTCATACAACTCAATTTTGATTTATATCGTTCAAGTCTAACATACCTCCTCTTCTTGGAAAAGAGCTGGCCATCGCTCCTTTATTTCTTTTGTGCTAGGCTCACTTTGGACAATTTCTTGCCTACGGTACCCAAAGGTTTTTCCCATCTTCATTTTAACAAATTGTCTGTTGTTTCGCTTCTTCATTTCTCCCAAGATGGAAACCCGCTCTTCTTCCATGCTCTCAAGTGTCTCGCCAATTGGCAGAGGAGGAAAATGGTTGACTTCAGCTCTTTTAGGCTTCTTAATGTTTTTAGCTGGCCTGTCTTGAGAGGTTGAGGGCCTACATTTTAAGGAGTTCACACTAACTTCAGGAGATGATCCATGGGCTCTAAGAGTTGACCTGTAGTTTGCCATTTGAACCTTGAGTTTTGACTTCCACCCTTCGATCTCATCAGAACAACCACCTTGTTTGAGACATGGATGCTTCATTATCAAAGCCTTGGCCACATCACCAAAGTCTGCATCATTAGGATAAGCTTTGAATTTGTATATTTCATCTCCAAGTGTTTCCAGGATGTTGGAGAGCATTTTAGTGCTAGGAGTCAGTCTAGTCTGGTTCTTAACACAGCCTTCATTTCCCTTCTGGAGCTGCATTTCTGTGTCATACGAGAAGGCAGGGATGTGGAAAACTTTGGGCCACTGTTGTGTTCTCAATGGTGCTGGAGAGTGGTGAAGTATTATGGTATCGTCAGAATTCCCGGATCCTGAAGAGGACTCTTCACTTTCAGCATGTGTTGACAATGAACTGGCGACAGATGGACTGGCTGAGTGTGGTATTGGAGAACACGGAACATCCACTGGATACAATGTAACTGTCGAATCTGGATCAAGCTCAATGACTTTCAGCACAGTAAGGTCCCCAATAACTTGAGTAGACGTCACATTAACAAATGCATTTCCAAAGTCCACATCTTGGTATTGCAGCCGTATGTACCCCATAACTAAACATTTGTTTTTTACAACTTCAATAAGTTCTTCAACACTCTCTGGAACACCATCCTCAAGGGTTATTCTCATGCGGTTTTCTTCATTTAAGATGACAAGAAGGCGAACTGGTGCAGAGGATGCCATCTTACCTGAGGGAGAACAAGAAAAAAACTCATTAGAAGTCTGTATAATGCATCAACAATCTTATCACAAAACTTTCACCTTAAACATGCACATATCTTTTGAGGGTTATCATTCTCTTCCCACCAACAAAGTACTCCTGCAATGGATATGGATCGGAGAGTTCACTGACTTCAAGCAGCAGTAATTGTTTTGTGGGACAATTTGCGAGTTCATATGATCGGTAGTGTTCATGGTACCATACAGACAGCTTTTGAACAATAAAAAACAGCTTGTTCTCAACAACCATCATTTCAATAACCACAGTAAATTCTGGCATTCCAGCTAGTGAACCATATGCTAGGATCATCCCATTTCTGTAGTTCAGTCCATTGAAAGTTGCATTTTTGGTGACAAAAACAGAATCCATGTCAGGGTATTTCTCCTTAATAGCGACAACAATTTCATCCCGTAAAGCACAAATGGAAAAGTTGGACACATTTGAAACTTCAAGGTTTTGTTTCGGAATGTTGCATACATGGAGTTCATAGGCCATTAGAAACTGGTGTCTTTGCGCCAGGGACATTAAAATATTAAAAAACATACTTTTCAAATTACTGGGCAATTTCAGCAACAAATACAGTCTATGCGCTTGCTATGTTAAAGTTGACACAAAATGGCGACTGCGCTTGACGTTTGAGTAAATCTTCTCATAAGAAAACGTAATCGGTGTTCAAAATAAAACCCTCGATCTAATACTCATATATATAGTATATACATGACGTTGATACACAGATAAATGTATTACAGTAATCCCCAGTAAGGCAGACTTGTACCAAAAACATAGCCTATTACAATAAAACATCTCCAATAGCCTATTTTACGTGCATCTGTGCATACAAAAAAACATTTATTCATTCTACAAGTCTAAATGTACCTTTTAATTACCTTTTACCGCTGAAAAGTGGCACAGTCGTGGGTATGGCCAGGTTCAAAGTCTTGGTCACGTTTGTTGAACGTGGGGGTGGAAGCCTCTGGAGCACATGGTGTGTCATCTTCTGCAGCGTGGTATGGCAGAGTCCAGCGCTGTTATTTTCAGTGCTGCCCCCTGTGTTGGAGGGCTGACTTGGTCCAGCGCATGCGCTAGATGAGCTCGACGAAGAATTGTTCGTTTGATCAATTAACTTTTATAAATTATTACCGATTTGAAATGGACAACTAAATGAACAAACATTTCTTTATCAACACGCAATGTTCAATCTGTATGGTTTTAATTGTAAAGACCAATTTGACTGTCTTTATTTAAAACAATGGCAAAGAACATATTGAATGAACAACAGCACTGTTTTACTTTTTTCAGTGCATCTCCAGATGTTGATGCTCGGCTTGGTCAGGACAACCGCAGCTGGAGGATTTATAGTGTGCATGTTTTTAGTGGTAGGGGAAAACGCATGCACAGGGAGAACATTCAAACTCCACTCAGAAAGACCCTGTTCCGACCGGGATTCGAACCCAGGCTGGGTGGCCGAGTAGCCAGCTATAGAAGCGCCATCTGAGGAGCCATCTGCACCAGGAGCAGAGAGCGATTTAAAAATGCAATAGGCCCATTCTAGACTAAGAGATTATTTCAACGTTTGACTGTATGACTTTGGAAACAACTGAAATGTCATTTGTTTAACTGTATTTCCCAATTCTCTGTATGAATAAAAAATAAATCCCATTATTTTCAAATCTGTGACAATTTATTCACAATTCAACATTAATATCTGCCCATAATCTCCAGTGTTGATTCAGAGGGGTTTGCAATCAATACAAGAATTGCTCGGTGAAATATTGCAGTATATTCATGACTGGATTTTGTACAACGTCGCTACAAGAAGTTTAAAAAATATATTCATAATAAATTCAATTCAGTGTATTTTTGTATCGCCCTAAATCACAACAGTAGTCATCTCGGAAGACTTTCTACTTTCAATTGTGAATAATGGTTCGTATAACAATTTGTATTCTACTGACATTAAAACTGGCAAAGTGCAAACCTTAGAATGAAAGAAACAAGGAGGTAATGGTGACATTTACCACCTCATTTGTGTGACCCCCAACCTCTTCTATACTGTCTCATTACACACATTCATTATTATTAGCAATTGGCTTATGAATACATTTTTTATAAGCCTGAGGTTCAACTCCCTGGTGTGGGGCCGGTCTGTGTGGTGGGTCCCAGTCCCTAAAGCCGGGGGTGCTACGCTCAAACCACAAAGAATGAAAATATGTAAAACAAGATATTCACTCATAGTAGATCTTCCCAAAACAGTTTGTTACTATCACTGATTTATTCATGGATGTACTGTTTTTTTGTTTTTTTGGCAACTGGCAAATTGTTGAACCTTTCTTAGACAAAAAATGTTCTCCATTGAGCTCCGCTAACAGGTGGGAGGGGTTAACTCCTTTTGCAGATTCAAATGATTGGATATGAGTTTACCGTGAAGTATGTAATGTCCCCGAGTGAGTCAGGCATTTAGCATTTAGCCTAGCTTTAGCATCTCCTTTAGCATCTCCACTAACAGAGCCCGTGGGGAGTAGAGCCACAACATTCCTCTCGTTCTGGTTTCAATTTCTTAATATTTGGAGCCGAACCAGAACAGATTAATTTACTATCGCATTGGCCCCCATTGCCAAAATTCAATCAGCAAATATGGTGCAAACTCTTGACGTCACCGACATCTACCTACAACACCGGCCTCCCCCGCTCGCTGAATGGTCGGATGGGATACAACCGAGGTATCCGCAGCCACAAGGATCAGACCCAGACGTACATGTAGGAAATGATAATTGGATAAGACCAGGCTAGGTCAGGGCATCTGTAATGTATGAAGTCAACCAGGGAAGCAGACATTAACACAACAGCCTTCATCTAATTTAAAAGCAGTGTCATTACAGGAGAAGGGCCTGGCAAGTATAATTTGGCTTCTTTTTTTTCTCCTCCCACTCAATAAGCTGCTTTGTTACAGTAATTAAACAGGCAACCAGGGGTGTGTGTTCTACTAACGCTACAAAAATCAACAAGCACGAGTTTGGTCCCTTCACACAAACAAACACTGTGACGTCCAGCTGTTCCCGGCCTTCATTAATCCGTAGTAAACTGCAATATTATTTTATTCATCACATAAAAAGTCGTACTCTGCCTTTGTTTCTTCTTTTCTCCCGGCTGCTCGCGCTCTCCGCTGCCTCCCTACTGCCTCCTGCTGAGGTTGCCGCCAAACATCGCCCGCCCACCACACCACCCCCATGCCTGCGAGAGTTTGTCCCTCATTACCAGGCCTCGCTGCACCCCGACCAACCTTCCCGGCCCAGCATGGTGTCATAGCTCCAGTGCACCATTGTCTCATTATCTCTGCAGACACTAGAGAGGCAGGGCATTATGGGACATCAGACACTCCTCCTTAGTTAGACCCTTGGGCCTCTGACAGCGGTGACAGGTGATTAAAACAGGCCAAAGGGTTTTTCTGCTCTTATCACTGTGTTTGTAGGACATTATATAACTTAGTAAGCTGTCATTAATGATAGTATCCCGTCAGACGACTTAAACTAGTGAGAATTGACGTCACCGGTGTAAAACGTATTCCTCGACTGTCTTGGTGGTGGACTCGCTTTTAGCCTGAGTTCTTTGAAATGTTGCAGCTTTGCCTGGATGTTTGGTTTGTCTTAAACTATTCTTCAACTTTGAATACATGCATGTGACTTAAATGTATATCGGAAGATTATCCCAAATTTTAGGAACCTCTCCAGTTATTCAAAACTCTCTTATTTGACGAGCACGTAGTCACCAGAATGATTGACAATTGGGAGGACCAATAGTGTTGATCATTAACCTGGAAGTAGAAATGTCTCCTACAGCTTTAACTTTCAGTCTTATCATTTCTGAAGCTGTGACAATGGCCGATGCAGGACCAAGGGCAGTTCCAGGACACTCGACATTCAGCGTCATTTATGGACTTTATCAACATGTTTGGACATTTGTCAGCCGCCCCTTATGGACAAACAGCTCTACATGTATTTATCATCACATTTCTTGTGTTTGAACTGATCGATTCACTGATCTGTGGTGAATGGTTTTGACCTCAGAGATGTAGGGCGGTACAAGAATGAATGGAATTAAACTGACTTGAATGACTCCATATTCTGCATCCATGTCTGTCTCGCTCCATCCTTCCCTCACCCCTGAACAAGATCCAAGACTCCATTTGAAGAAGTGTCTCTCCACCAACTGCAGAAGGCAGTCGAGCACGATGGCCTTGGATTCGGAGGTGATGGTCTTTAACTCACCCGCTTCAAACTTGAATGTTGAAGATCCTGGTTTGATGAAGCCCACAAACTCCTCTGCAAACTGAAATCCTGTGGTCCCCGAAAGCAAAATCATCCTAGCTCCATTAAACCATGAATTATCGCACCAATTTTCCCATATAGAAGCATGTACATGAACACATCTATTTTAGGATCCAGAATATTACAATCAGCTGTGGTATAAAAAAAAAAAGATGTCAAGTAAGAAGATACAGTGTGAAAATGTCTCTCTAAGTGTGTGATTGACATAACAGTGATATGACAGTGAGTTTATTCAGATGGGTTAGGGTTAATGTGTGTTTCTCAGAGACACAGGGACAATATGCACCCTGCTGGTACCGATTGATCAACAGCATTTCGGAGTGGGAGAACTTCTACCTACTCAGACACTGTGACACAGAATGAAATCATACGCCTTTCATTTCTCATCCAGATTTTGAATACATTTTGGCGTCTCCTGTCGTTGACTCATCTCCTCCAATTCCTTCTGTCTCTCCTCCGCCGAGCTCCAAAAAAGCAACATGTAACGTCAGTGTAACTGTTGAGCAATGTTTTTCTGCTTCAGGGTGGGGGTGTCATGGAGAAGGAGGAGGAAAAAGGGGGGGGTAGTCTGTCCTCAGAGGCAGATGGCTGGTCCATGACGAGATGGTGCTGGCCGGGCTCCATGTGCTGTAGTGGGTAACTCGGGCCCAGGGTGGCACGTGGGCGGCTCTCTGCTCCTCAGCGCCACAGTATTCCTCAGGCACACAAGTCCACTTCCCCCGCCCATCTGTTCCTCTTCGTTTCAGATAGAGCACGCGCTTCTGTGTGCGCAAAAAGACGCACACAGGTTTGCCTTGCACGAATGTACTCGAAAATATAAAAAAATAACCTTTCAAGTTAAACTTCCTAAAACACTGAGAATCGATCCATAAGGAAATGTTAATTCATTCAAACCAATTCCATTCAATTTCATTTTGTGTAGCTCTCGCCAACACACAGAGACTCAAACAGTGCAAATACAGGAAATGCAATGGTAAAAAATAAAAATAACACATAAAGCCATTGGTCCATAAGGGGTAGATTACCAGAATTCATAAATGTGTGGTATGTGGTATATATATGGAAAGTCCATAATTGTCGCTGAATGTCGAGTGTCACCACTGTCCTTAGACCCTCATCAGCAAAGAAAATGAAAAACCTCTATAAGAACACTTTTGTGCAATTTACATGTTTCTCTCCACAAAAGGTCATGGCAGAGCTGAATGAACTTATCAATTCTGCTGCGTTTTGAAATTCTCTACCATTTGGATTTAGAAATTATGGCTATTCTGAAAAACTGCCTCCTGATTCTTTACTGGGGTAATTAAAAACAGGCCAGATTAAGGACGTGTGGGATGGGCAGTTTAACTTGACCTGCGTATGGATGTTGACAGTCAAAACGTTTTATCTACGATTTTCAAACCAGACTCAAAATTAGGTGAAGTTTTACCTCAGTCGCAAAAGGAAGCAAGAAAAGAAACAGGCATTTAAATGATAAATAATCAAAGTACAATAAAACAAGCGACGATTCAGTCCCTCAGATGTGTGCACAGATAAACAGAACTGTTTTTTTTTACTTGGATTTGAATGTTGTCAGAGTAGAAGACTTTTCCAGATTTTAGCTTGCCTTCCCATGTTTGGTCCTGACTCTGGGCACCAGCGGGAGGCCAGTGTGTGAAACTCTAAAACATCTCATCTCCACCCAATCAATCCATCGTGGGAGTGCCCTAGGGCTCCATCTTTGGGTCACTGCTTCTAATCATCAATGACAGATTTTGATACAATAATATCATAATTTACCCTGATGATACTGACCTGTTTTCATGGTAAAACATTAAGACACAGCGACAAAGGAACTGACAAACCAACTCTGATTGTAACGGCCAAACCGGTCAATGTACTATATTAGAATTGAAAAATATTTCAATTTGCAACTTGCGCAATGTATTCTTGCCATATAATACACTTACACATATCACATTCGCACAGAACAGATTCAAATGAAAAACATTATTCACTAATGATATGCTGGATGTTGTCATATGTGTCTGTGACTGATGCATATTTTTTCATTTCTCAAATCATAAATGTTTTTATAATCAGCCTAACGCGCTCGGAGTGATAATGACATGGAGTCAGAGGCAGCTGGTGACTCAAGGTCAGATGGCAGGGCAACACGTTTCTTCATTTCATAAATGAGATCAGTTCAAAGTGAAGTTCAGAACATTCGGCGGCACGGTGGCTGAGTGGATGAGTGGATAGCACTCTTGCCTCTCAGCAAGAAGGTCCTGGGTTCGAATCCCGGTCGGACCGGGGCCTTTCTGAGTGGAGTTTGCATGTTCTCCCCGTGTCTGCGTAGGTTTCCTCCGGGTGCTCCGGTTTCCCCTACCACTAAAAATATGTCCAATAGTTCTGGCATGCGCCTCCTGTACTGGCCCCGCTCCCATCTCTGTGTGGAGTGAGAGGACAAATGCCCATAATTAACAATTGTAAACCGCTTTGAGATTCAGATCTGCAGTGAAAAGGCGGTATATAAATAAAGATTACTTACTTACTTACTAGGCTGTTTACTCCTGTCCTTCCTGTCTGTAATATTGTACTAGAATATGTGCAGTGACTCACTCTTCCTGTTCAGCTGCTCTGAGCAGAAGGTAAATGCTTCTAATAGGATTTCCACACATGAGGCAAGTTCAGTGCCTTCTGAGTCCTACTTTTGAGGAGATTATTAAAATTATTGTTATTGTTGACATTCATTCATTTTCTACCCCTTTATTAGTCCATCTCTGGGTTTGGGGGGTGTGGCAATAAACTACAACACTTCTACAATGTAGGGTTAGCATTTTGTGACACCCTTAATGTCCAAAGATAACTAATAATACATCATTAGAAACTAAATAACCGACTAAGACAACTTGTGGCACTCAAAAACATTTATTCTTTTTAACTAGTTTTCTCTCACTTTGTCTTTCATGTTCTGTGAGTTTCGTTGTCACGGCGATAGAACGTGTTCATGTTTCTGGTCGTAATGAGACAACATTTGTAAAAGTTCATGGGGTATGAATACTTTTACTTGTTAAGTCCTTGCTCTGCCTGGTCGCCAGCTGCGTGGACGCCAGTTAGAGAAACATTGGAGCTTAAATATTAATGTTGTAATGTGGCAGTGTTGGATGCTCACTGAGCTGTGGGCTCCGGAGCGCTGCTGTTCCACACTGTTCTGGAAGCCCGCGGTGAGGGGGATCTGCATTTCTTTAACTAATGACATGCATCCATCCACTTTCTTCCACTTTACACGTTGCCGGGTCATGGAGACAGCAGCCTGAGCAGAGATGACCAGAGAGAGATATTGTCCCTCCACAGTCCTGGGTCTCATGTCCTGGGTCTCATGTCCTGGGTCTCATGTCCTGGGTCTTCTGTCCTGGGTCTCCTGTCCTGGGTCTCCTGTCCTGGGTCTCCTGTCCTGGGTCTCCTGTCCTGGGTCTCCTGTCCTGGGTCTCCTGTCCTAGGTCTCATGTCCTCGGTCTCATGTCCTGGGTCTCATGTCCTGGGTCTTCTGTCCTGGGTCTCCTGTCCTGGGTCTCCTGCCCTGGGTCTCCTGTCCTGGGTCTCCTGTCCTGGGTCTCCTGTCCTGGGTCTCCTGTCCTAGGTCTCATGTCCTCGGTCTTCTGTCCTGGGTCTCCTGTCCTGGGTTTTATGTCCTGGGTCTTCTGTCCTGGGTCTCCTGTCCTGGGTCTCCTGTCCTGGGTCTCCTGCCCTGGGTCTTCTGTCCTGGGTCTCATGTCCTGGGTCTCCTGTCCTGTGTCTTCTGTCCTGGGTCTCCTGTCTCCAATAAAGTGTCTATCTCTCTGACTCACTCATTTTGGACATTACCCAAAGCTGAGTTAGTTGGCGGTGTAAGATTGACGGGTAAATCTGCGACTCTGCTCCATCTTCACCACAAAAGTCTGACTCACGCTCCACCTTCCCGCACTCACTCAGTTCCATTTCTTTGTATGGCCCTAAATCACAACACCACTTATCTCAAAAGACTTCACAAAACCGTCGAATTCGCCGACACAGATCAGATAATCAAACCGTTCAAAGTCCATAAATATCGTTGAATGTTGCATGTCCTGGATCCTTTTGGTTTCTCACACGCAGGTCTAAAGAAAAAATTATAAAACCAGCAATATCCGTAACTTGTTCTGTGTCTAATGCTGCACTATTTATACGATAACAGGTATGAAATGTATTTTGACGAACACACAAAGCTGTTCCAAAACTCCATGCTGTGCGAGTCTTCCAAGCAACAGATGGCAAATAGAGAAATCAGCAACACGTTTATTTTCTCGTCCCTTTAGTTCGAACAAAATGTGTCTTTGTTGGACTTCCATCCAAACACATACACATTTAGCATACACTGATCCTGCTCCAGAAGTTATTTTAAGCTTGCTCTATCAAATGTGAGTTTTTCCTTCGGGAATGATCGGTTCATATTACCGGTATTAGTTTTTAACTGCGTGTAAATACTTGTGCGGGTATCTAGAATTTCTGGTTATGACACCCACATAGACGGGCTAAATCTCCTGCTCACTCTAATCACCGCAAACAAGACACAAATGGGGAGTAATGATTCATCCGGCGAACAGATTGAGCTATTGGGTAAAAAAAATAAAAAATACTTAATAATAAGCTAAATAAATCCCAGTGTATACAGTAATCCAAGCACAAATCTAGTTGCAAACCGTACAAAGATGAATAAGTCTCTGCATTTCACCCATCCTTCAAAGCCACTCAGGTCTCAGGAGCAGGGGTTGTTGTAGTACACCTGGAACTACCTCCAGATGTCGATGCTCGGCTTGGTCAGGACCAGAGGTGTTTGTGTTTTTAGTCTCAGAGGAAACCGGAGCACCTGGAGGAAACCTACAGTAATCTCCACTCAGAAAGGCCCTGGTTCACCGGGATTGGAACCCACGGCTGCTTCTCTATCTCATGTTATGGTTCCATGGACGTGGTTAAAACTGTTGGCCTAACTGACACACACATATACATATGCACATACACGTCCACACCATAGACTATATATATTATTGGACAGAGTCACGCCTATCTCTGCCGTTCTAACTAGTGGGCCAAAAAATGTGCTCTACTGGAGCTATCCAAAATGGCCGCAAGTGGTCCCGCCCACAAGAAAATTGGGAAAAAACGTATCTGCGCATGCGTCAGCCGGCGCAGCTCCATTCATTTGAACGAGAGACTTAAAAAATTCACAGCAAGTAAACTAGACTGGTCCAAAATAATTCACCCCCCTCAGCATTGACACACATGTGGAACGGAGCTTTGGGCCAAGAGCCAACTTTTGGTCCATCCTGTAAAGACGTTTTTGAGAGGTCTGCCAATGCTATATGTTAGCATTGGCTAATTCTTATTCTGGGTCCACCCCCATCGGCCCGGGGTGGTATTGCAGCATGTCAGCGCACATCGTTTTGGCCACTTTTGAGCTGGGACCCTCCCCCACTGGTCCACACACATACACACATGCACACACAAATAAACCTGGTGCCTTGACCTTCTAATTCCTGGGTCTCCAACCTATTGCTTGGGAGCTTCCAGTAACTCCTCAAAGGATCATTTAAAATATAACAAAATCCTACTTTTTGCACTAATAAATGATGATGGATATGATATGGGTATGACACAACACAACAAAAAATGCCCAAAAAAAGATAGAAAGTCTCCAAATTTGCCTACATTGATCAGAGAACATTTTGATTGACATTTAACTGGTTTAGTAATCTGTATTTTTGCGTAATTGTGTGTAACTTTTTCTGCCTCTTGTCCAGGACTCCCTTGAAAAGTAGTGATTCCTCAATGGGACTTCCCTGGTTAAATAGAGCATAAATCAATTAAAAGACAAGATTTGCCAATGAAACAAAAAATTACAGTTGCTTGATCTTGCTTGAAATCAGACTAAAGCTGGTTGTTCCATTGATTTCATTGTTTTTTTTTCAATTCTACTTTATCCCCTGTAGCAAACCGTTAAGTCGACTGTCTAAAAGGAGTAGCTCTCTGCCATTTTTGTCCTGAAAAAGTAGCTCTCCCACAGAAAATTTTGGAGACCCGTGTTCAAATTGATGAGCTCTCGGGACGTTATCGAGCTGCCGACTGTCACCTCGTGTTCACCATAAAAAATGCAGCCTTATCATAAAATCTTAACCTGGTCTGGTCTTTCCTCTGGTCTGCGGCACTTTGAGCTGGAGCTGGGACTCAGACTTCAGCGTTTGGAGCACTTTGAGGATGAGGTCTGAGGACTTTGGAACCGGTCCGTTCAAATAATCCAATGAGGTTTATCTGGTCTTGCTGCTGTTCAGGTCACATATTATTATGATTATTATTATTATTAAAGGAGCAATATGTAAAAATCTGGCCAAAAGTGGTACTGCATCCTCGCCCACTCTCCCTGACTCAGGTTTCCAGATATGCAGAAGAATCCAGCTGGGACCATTATATCTGAATTATCATCTCCAGTGTCTTCTGGGCGTTATAATTGGGGAAAGAGAGCAGACTTTGTCGATTGAATGAATTAATGAATGAGGCTTTATTCGAACAATAGAAAATAATGTAAATAAATACAAACAAAAAACAAAAAAACCTATACGTGTACAATGTATGTACAATTTGTTCCCTCAAGGAATAAATAACATAAACGATCATGTCCGGGAGTGAGCAGGAAGAAAAACAAACACTTATGTAACCCCGCCCCCTTTTCTAATGATCAATTTAACAAAACAAAAAAAACAAGATTCAATAATTCATTTGCCATATGCAGTAAAACCACATTGGGAAAATTGTGCAAGACCCCTGTGTGCACCAGGATACCATTTTGGTCTTTTACATTGTGAAATTGTGTAGTTTCAAGACACTGCGGCGTCTGAACTCTCCGAAGGATACAAACAATGACAATGGCGTCGATTTTAAGAAACGGTCCATCTCGAAGAAGAAACCGTTTCCTGACAAGCCTCCAGTGACTTCCTGTCCCGGACTAAAATAACGACACCTGTTCATCTCTTTCAACCATAACACGACCGATGGCTGTGGGTCTGCGCCAGTTCTTGGGAAATGGTGGAATGAGAAAGAGGCTAACGACTTTGCACTAATCGATGTGTGCTTCATCAGCTCTTCACTCGTGAGTCCGTGTAAAGGCTGAGGCACAGAGAGGAGGAGGAGTTCATGAGAAAGTGCAGCCGCTGCCTCAAACTCACCTCCAGGGCCTCGGAGTCAGTCTGACTGTCGATGCTGCTGTCTGCAAGTCTGCTCTTCAAGGAGTCACTCCAGCCCGACTTAGAGAGACTGGACAGACATTTATAGTTCATTTAGTTGAATATGAGACAAAATAATTATGTTTGAACTGTCCATAGACTGTACGTAGATGGACGATGCTAACCCGCTAGCAAAAGGGAAGTGCTCATGGACGAGGTTTTGTAGCCTGGCTCCAGCCGACCTTTAGCCCCGCCTCCATGGAGTTTCTGCGGGCAGGTCGGTCTGGCATTCCTCAATGGAAAAATTATTATGGGGGGCGTGTTCAAACTGAAACAGGAAACACAATCCCCCTTCGTACTATTGGATAGTCCAACAACCAATGAGAGCGAGGTGTGACGTATTTATGCGACGTTATTATTGTTTACCTTCTCGCATGCTGCCTGTAAAATGAGTGCAAACGACTTGTGCCGGTGTTGCAAAAAGAACTTGAAGATACGCGGAGTATTTAGCAACACGTTACTAATTTTTGAGAGAAATAAAAAAGGTAAATCCATATACGAACAAGTCCTCCATTTAGGATTACAACTTCACAAGACATCAGAGAAATCTACGCGCATTTGTCGGTCCTGTCACAACCTGATTACAAGACTGGAACGCGACATTCCCGTGTTCAAATCATGGACAAACGAAGAAGGAGAACCGGCTGAAGAAGCATGCTCATCAGAGTCACCATCAGAGAAGAGAGACCGGGAGCTGAGCCCTTCTAAGTCGCCCAGAGCCCTGAAGAAGTTCTGTTCCAATCATTTAACTGCAGCCGGTGCAAAACCGCGAAGAAGAATCACAAAGGTAAGCGCATGTTAAAGAAAAAATTCTACCTATTATTTTATACCCACAATCTCGATTGCCAAGTGTTTCATATATGAAGTCGTGTTTATTTACAATGTGATTAACACATAACCAATTTCAATGCAATACATCAATGATTAAACCATCTGAGGCATATTAGCTGGGCCAAATCCGAGTCAGGTCAGGCAGTGTTCCCCTGAGCTGCTCTACAATTGCCTCTGGGCTCACCATAATAAACATGGTATATTCCAATGCATTGTCAAAGCTTATGCTGCAGTTATTCTCACTGTCACTTTGTCCTATATTGTAGGTTGTCACCCATTACCCATCACAGACCATTGCTAAGGCATGTGATTCAGAAGATGCCTCAATAGTCAACAACATAAACCAAAAGAAGTGGACTACAGCTGCAAAGTCCATTTTAAAGCATACATACCTGGTTGACAAAATAAAGCAGCACATTGTGGACCTAATAGAGCATGAATGTAAACATTTATGTAATCCAAACAACGGGTGTATCCTGTGGAAGTCATCACCGGATGACCTGAAGGCCTTTTCATTCACCAGGTTAGAAGAAGACTTAAGAAGTTTTTCACCATTCCTGTTTTCAATTTTGATGACTATCACCAAAGACTCGCAAACTGCAACTTGTGCGGCAGCTTCTATTGCTTTGAGAGGAAGAGAACCACGAATGTCTGCATTTGCATACTACTTATGTAGTATTCTTCATTATGGTGGAGCAAAAAAAGCTGTGTTTGAAAGGCTGAACAAAATGGCCATAACAACAACCCACCAAAATTCCATAGATAAGCAGAAGGAGTTGGCCTTCCTCTGTGGGGCTGCTCTACAAATGTTAAAGGTCCAGAATGAAGCTTTCCTCAACTCTGAAGCAGAAGGGAATATGTCTGGTGAGATGACAAATAGCTAATATGTAGAAACGCAACACATTGAAATGCTATGTCTTTTTAAATGTTTTGTGTCTATCCTGTGATTAGTAATGAGTTATCCCTTATTCTTTTCCAGAAAATGAAAAGGCTGAAAGCGACGGCATACATGCCTCTGCAATGGCTATGCTGCCTTTTAACAGTTTAAGTGCCTTTGAAGCAGCAGAGCCGGGCCTGAGCTCTTCTGCCTCTCCGGTCATTCAACTCACTCCTCCACCAACATATTCCATTATAATTGACAATTTGGACTTTTTCATGCGTGCTCATCATCAGTCTTCCCTCCATAATAACAAATCCATACACTGGATCCATCATATTGCAGTCCAGGATCGCATCTCAATAAATCACCTTGGCAATGAGAAGCCGGACTATGACATGTTACAATATGATCTTTGCAACTCTCTCCCCGGAGTAGAAATCCAGGACAATATGCGACGGGAGTTTATTGTTCTTGGGACCCGCATCCTGACCCAGCACCTGTCTGTGTTTAAGCCCTTCAAACATGTTGTCGTTCACCACATGCCACATCAATATTCTGAAGACATGTCTAAGTGCTCCACAGATGTAAGTAGTGAGTTAGATATGAAACAAAAGTACAGTCAAACACGACTGCAATTTCATTGTTTTCAATTTTTTCCTCTAGTATCCTCTTGGACTGCTGTTCAAAGATGAGAACAAAACGTCAGATTTGGTGGACACACTTCGCCACATCCAGAAAGAGTAAGAATATAATTATGCTCCAGTAACACACGCATTGGCAGAAGGGCTTTGTTGAAATTTATGATTTAAATGTTTGCATATAATCCATTTAGGTATGTGCCAAAAGGACCCAATGGTGTGTCAAATGTATTGGTAGGAGGTGACCGGCTGACTGAGGGGAACTGCAGAAACTTGCAGTGGGCCTTCTCAGATGGTGCTACAAAAGAAGACAGACTGGAAGGTCTCGTCTTTAAGTTTGAGGACTGGCATGCCATCAGAAACCTCTTTGAAGTGAGTAGTATTAGACACTGGTGTGACTGTTTCATAACAAAACTGAACTGTCAGACCACTACTTTTAGATGTACTTTTGTGTGCCAAGCTGTGTTCATTCCTGTTTTATAAGCCTCCAATGTTTACATAGATCTATCATCGGATATTCTATGACTGCACATCCTCAAAAGATCATGGAACACTTCATTCCAACATGACAAAATTGAGGTACAGTGCCTGCTTTCCGAAATGCCGTGAATACACACTTAACACTTTTATTTCAACTTGACCCTAACCTTTGTGTTGTGTTCATGCCAGACAATGGTGTGTTCTATGCCCTTAGTAATGTACCTTGTTAAATGATTACCTAATAAATGTTTGGGTGACAGCCTCTGCTAAAATAATGTAAATGTCTGTGATGGACAATGACAAAGACTATCTGCCATTTGCTACACTACACATTTGTTTCATAGGTGCAGTAATGCCAAACAAGGTCCCCATGCCGCTTACAATGCCTATAAGGAATTTGTGCGGAAGGACACGGCTGCACTCTTCCTGGCAGCTGCAATGGAGCACTGGGGGCTGGAGGATGTAACAGGTAAGTTATAGCACTTGACATCCCATTCAAAGTTGATCTTAGATACAAGTACTCATGTAATGAATACATGTCACTTTGAGAGTTGATAATTAAAATGCATTTTGAGTAGTTATGACATATTATATCTCTTAAATGTTATCCTGTGTACTCCTGGTGGTGAGACGTTAAAACATTCTTTTCTGTGTGCTAACAGACATTCCAGATAGCTTTGTGTGCCAGTGGATGTTGCCTATGGATCGCCACAACTGAAGAGGAATTGGCTGCATGAGAAGGTTGGAGAGGTTGTGGACACTTTTGTCATGATGACAAACGTCACAGAAGCAGCAAGTCAAAGGCCAGCCTCACAACAGCAAAGACCGAAGCTTCCGTGCCGTGCGGACGGGTGTGGCCATGTGTATATATACACCAAAGCGAGGGAAAATCATGAAAAAAAGATGCACAATCTTGTGGCTACATCAGCCTCTTCTGCAGAAGACACCAGACCAGAAAACCAAGATCATCAGAAACAACACTCAGAAGCTAGACTTGGCTTTGGCTTCTTCCTGTTAAACATGCAGGATGCAGTAAGAGAAGGGGATGGTGAGAGGCTGATGAGACTGTACAAAGTTGCCCTGCTTTTCTATAAGGCATATGGACACAGCCAGTATGCCTACAGCACGTTCCTACTAACATTACAAGTCAATCTCACTCTGTCCCCACGCATGGCACACAGTGTTGTATGGAACCGGTTTTGAAATGGTAGAGGGGGAAAGGGGAAAAATATTCCCCTTGACCTCCATCTGGAACATCTGAATAATTTTCTGAAATCTTTTATGACAGGCTTGGGACCAAACCTGTCTGAAACATCAGCAGCCAGGATCAGTAAGTCCATTGGCATCCTCAAGGAGCTGTTGGAAAACACAGACACAGAGCTGGAGGTGACAAGGCCAACCGGCATTCACCATGTAACCAATGAGCAGGACGACATTCTTGCCTTGGTCAACATTTTCAGGGAGACTCAGATTTTCAAATGTCAACCAGGAAGACAATTTCACGCATTCCCTCATTTCAAGAGAAACTTGTTGGGAAAACTAAATTACCGTGAGTTATGGCAATGGATGAAGTCAAAAGTAATGGACTGGAGAAATGTCCCTATTTAGTTAAGTAAAACTTGTAAAATGTGTAAATACTGAAAGTGAAACTGTACATCATTTTGTTATTAAATCTTTATGAAGTTGAAGAGATCCTTAATTTGTTCCAGTGTGGGGAAGTTTCAATGTGTCATCACCAGTTACAGAACAGGAGTGAGGAGCGCACACAGCGAAAGATAAAGGACCAGTGTCTTTTAGTTTCTACATTCTTAACCATGTTTCCTTATGTTCAAATATTGCCTCTGGAGATATGCCACATCTCGATACTGCTGTCAATCAGTTGACGACCTGCACTACAACAGCAAACTTGCACATAGTCAATTTCCTATTGTATCAAATACTTTTATTGCACACAACATACTATTTTCACCTTCATGACAATGGCTGTCTTTTACATGTAGTATTCATGCCAACTAACATGTACATTTCTCTAGTGCAATCTAAAATAAACGTTTTTGCATTAGAAAACAAACAGCAGTCAGAATATAAACATAGTAACTAAAGCATAAATATAATCAACACATAAAGCTACAAAATAAAGGCAGAATTTAAAGCTAGTCTGAGATCCTCAACATTGAAAAGCCTGATTCCATGCTACTAAGTGATTGCATGTCATCCTCTTCCTCATCAAAGTAACCAGTGTAGTGCATGTCAACCTGAGCACAGTCTTTTGTAACACTGTCATCTAGCAAATCAAATTGACTCTGTTCAAGGTCATAAAATACCTCATGCATAATTCTCAGTATCTCTTTAGCATGCTCCAGTTTGAATACAGGGAGGTTGTTGATAATGAAGTCCAGATCGAATATATGTGTACACTGTTCTATAATTGCATTAATGAGTTCATCTCCAAAACCAGTGCAGGCTGTGTCAACGGTGTAAAGTGGGACGTTATGGTCCTGAAGTAAACTGCTCCTGTAAGTCTGCAACAGGTCCCTGATCAACAGCTTGTCATCAAGAGTGACTATTCTGTGTTTATAAAGTGATGCAGACTGGCTTTGAATTTGTTCATACTTAGGGATGGGTTCCCCACAACCCTCAGGCTCACAACAACAAACAGAATGGCAGTGGGTGCAACAAAGATGTCCAGGATCAACAGATGTGGTGATTTCTTCAAAATGGCAGTACAACGCTTTACGCAGACAACCAGTGGCTCCAGCCTCAAGTACGGTCTTAATGACTGGATCCAGCTTTGCATGCTGTTTGACAGCATAAACAATTGCATGTGCCTGCAACCCATCTCTGCCTGCCCTCCCAACCTCCTGAACCATGGCTTCCACATCATCAGGGAACCCATACATCACAATATGTGATATCTTGGGGAAGTTTAAGCCCATCCCAAGAGCTGTTGTTGCCACAACAACTCTGCAGCTGCCCTGTCCACTCAGAGATGACAGCACTCTGTTCTTATTCTGAGGCAGTGTCTGGCTGTGAAACATGCCCACCAGCAGGTTGTCGGGATTTTCATCAGGGTCTCTGTTGACCCAGGAATCTTTACCAAGTGCCCCCTTCAAATGGCAGAATACTCTGCCAACTGTCTTCAGGGTTCTGCAGTAGATAATGACTGGTGACATGGAGATGCCTTTTTCTTTTACATCACTGACAATCCAGTCTAGGCAGTCCAGTGTATGGAAAGGCACTTTAATCAGACCCAGTCTGATATTTGTTCTGTTTGGGCTCAGAGCCAAAATGGTTGGATTGTCCATCTGAAGTTGTATCATGACTCTGGCTCTAGACTCCCGATCAGCAGAAGCAGTCATTGCCAGCACAGGTGTTCCTGGAATATACAACAGTACAATCATCAACCATACAGTCAAATGTGACAGTTATATTTTGTGGGAACAACAAATACCTAGTAGTAATGAAAACTATTGATACATACAATGATGAAATGTGTGTCATAGTATTATAATGTATTTTGATAATTATGTAGAAATGTATGGGTGTATGTTGGTAGTTGTGTTTGTATGTATATGTTTACATGTATGGAAGATATGTGTGTGAATATATGTATTCCGCAGAAAGTGCAAGTCTGAATGCAAATAGCAAAATGGTTTTGGGTTAGAGTGATTGGTAAAAGTCTTCAGAAATGGACTGTTCTTACATTCCTGTGGCTAGTGGTGATTTACAGTGTAGTTTGTACTCACCAGCTTTAACTAGGGATCTGAGTTCTCCCAACTTGGCGAAGCTCTGGCGAAATGGCGTTTGTCCTTGTGCAGCCTGACCCCTGATACAAATGAAAGAGTACATTAGAACAAGAGTTGTTGAACTACAATGAGACCAAAGATGAGCTTTTATGAGTTCATAAGTGAGGGAATTCCAATGTCATAGTTGCACATTGTGGCTGAATAAAAGGAGAAATAAGAACACTCAGACTATACACACATCAAACAGGGTCTATTATCAGCCTCATGACGTATTCACCGATGTTTTAGCAGCAGAGCCCAAACAACCAGAATGAACAATAACAATAATAGCCGCGGGTAAAGCTAGTGAATGATCAGAATTATCAGGTACATTGCATATGTAATAATATAGCAGCCAAGGTGACTATGTGTATAGGGGGTTACTCAGACTATCTCTTACCATTTGTATGTTAGATGCACTTCATCTACGACAATGCCCATCACGTTGGCTTGAAAAATGTCCGAGCCGAGCATGTTCCTCCACCTCTGGTTGAGCAGCCAGGATTCCGGGGTGCCGAAAATGAGCTGGCAACGACCGCTGGTGATGTCCAACTCCTCGTGGACGCCGAGTTGCATTGCCGTGATGCCCATCGCACTCGCCTCCTTCACTTGGTCCTCCATAAGCGCGACCAATGGTGAAACCACAATGACTATTGGGTTTTCCCGGTGTCCCAACTTCTTCGCGACCATCGGGGCCAGTTGATAAATTAAACTTTTACCAAATCCCGTCGGGAGCACGGCTAGGACATCTTTTCCACTCACAAATGCATTGATAGCGTTTCTCTGTTCATATTTCAAGATGAATTCTCTGTTCATGTCTTGTAAAACAGAATCAATAGCAGAATCCACACATCTCACCTCCCTAGCGCAATGCATGTTTGTTTTGAACGTATTCTGCCCTGGCGCTCTTTGATGACGTAGATGCTGACGTTACTGTTGCTCACCTGTCAACCATCACATGAAGCCCGCCCTGTCACTCTGACTGGCCCGGTATGTATCGTACCGGGCATAATACTTTTTCCATTGAGGAATGCCAGACCGACCTGCCCGCAGAAACTCCATGGAGGCGGGGCTAAAGGTCGGCTGGAGCCAGGCTAGAGGTTTTGCCCCTACACTGTAAAAAAGTTATAAAATATGAGGTGACAATTGCTTATATCAAGTGATTTTTGGTTTAACGGTTGCATTTGAGTACATTCTGATTGTCTTAAAACAGTATTTCCCAATGGGTCAAAGCCATTTCTTTTAAAACAAGATAATTTTGCTTCGTCCCGTTGGAAAATCTTGTTTAAAGGCAGTCAAAATGTGCTCAAAATAAGATACATTTTGTCAAATTTTAGCAATTTTTGACTAATTTTTCATGACTTTTTACAGTGCATTGACTTGAAAAGTAAATTCCTCACACTCACCACCACAGGCTCAAAGAATCTTTGTGTTAGCGCTCTCTATGATCCTGGAGGGTGTATTCCATTCCCCGCCTGGGAGCCAGAACATCTGTTTTGAAATGTTTGTGAATCGAATCTTATACTTTTAGAAATTTATTTTTGTTTCTTACAATGATATGTTTCTCCATACACACTCTCACATTCCATAGTAACCAGGTCAAACTCAAGCAGCCTGTTTTTAGTCCCTATTGCCAGAGCTGCTTTAAACAATGCTAACCACTCAGCCACAGCAACTAAGGAAGTAGACCACTCTTATGTCCCGCCTCTCCTGGTCCAGTTTCCAGGGTCCGAAAGAGATCCACCTACACCAGATTAGCTTTAGCACTCAGCAAGATTAGCAAACATTTTATCGCCGGTCTTGTTCTTACCTTACTTTGCCCCAATCCAACTTTTCTCCTGTGTTTTCTAATAGTCGTGTTTCTGTAGTTACACATTAATCCTGCTTCTTTTCCTCCGAGAAGAAAAAATAAAAAAGGCCACAACTCAATCAGTCTCACATCACAGGAAAAAAGAAGAAAAAAAAAAAAGGCAAACTTTAAAAAATGACTCCAAACACTGAGGTGACAGCCCCAGTGACAAAACGGGGATAAATTAATCTTTTCAACGGCAACCGCATACAGAGGAGCGCGGGTGCAACGTGAAAATCTGAGGTCGAAGCCGTGGTCGCGGGGAACTCTGAGTGTATTTCCAGGGGTTTTTGCGAGCTTATAAATGATACACAAATCTACACGGTGTAGGGGAGAGTGGGAGCAGGAATCAATCCGGATTACGGCCTCATCAGTATTGCCCCAGGGCTGCAGTGGGCGCAGTTTTTAGGAGACTGTATGATGAGGTCTGGTCAATGGGTTGAGATTTTTTTTTTTTCTGCAGAAGAAACAAAACTCAGTGTATTTAAATAAAAATACATGGCGAGAGCAAGAAGGTCTGGAGGTGTCATGGTGTGGGGTTTTTTGTTATTTTGGACAGTGGTGATGATCCAGGACACTCAGCATTCAACGACATTTATGGATTTAATCAACATTTATGGACCAATGGCTCTGTTTTTTTTAGATATATATATATACTGTATATAATTGCATTTCTTGTGTTTGAACTGCTTGATTCTCTGATCTGTGTTGGCGAATCGACAGCTTGTGAAGTCCTCCGAGATAACTACAGTTGTGATTTAGGGCAATACAAAAATACATTGAATTCTCTGGGCGGCACAGTGGCTGAGTAGATAGCACTCTCTCTTCTCAGCAAGAAGCTCCTGGGTTTCGAATCCCGGTCGGAACAGCGGCTTTTCTGTGTGGAGTTTGCATGTTCTCCCCGTGACTGCGTAGGTTTCCTCCGGGTGCTATGGAGGAATTACTTACTCTTATGGTTTTGTTTTAGTTTTATTTCCTGTTCCAATATGCCAATCGTCTGTGTCTCTGTGTCCGTGCTCTTCCCCGTTTGTTACTAGTCCATTGTCAACCTCTATGTCTGTCCATTTTCCTGAATTTTCCTTTTCTTTTTAGATTTTTGAATTTGTTTGGCCTTGGAACGGTTGCCTCTGTTTTAATCCATCATTAAATCATTTTGACACTTTAACATTCTACAACATGTGTTCTATATTCTTTCTGTGTTTTAACTGTTGATTCTCTGATCTGTGTTGGTGATTTCAATGATTTTGTCAAGTCCTCGGACATGACTTCTGGTGTGATTCAGGGCTATAATAAATTGTATTGTATTGTATTGTAATACTGCATTTTGGGTCCTTCCTCCGTCTCACCACGTGACCCTTGGGTTTGATTCCACATTCTGACGGGGGCCTTTCTGTGTGTAGTCTGCATGTTCTCCTTGTTCTCTGGAACGATCTTCCTGAAGATGTGAGACAGGCCTCCTCTCTGACAATATTTAAAACCAGGTTAAAGACAGTTCTGTTTAGCTGTGCATACAACTGAGGGATTTTATATTTTTATCTTTCCTTTTAATGTTCTGTGATTATTTATGATTTTAATGCTTTCTTGTTTTGTTCAGCACTTTGAGTTGCCTTGTGTGTGAAATGTGCTATATAAATAAACTTGCCTTGCCTTGCCTTGTGTCTGCGTAGATTTCCTCCTAGTGCTCCGGTTTGCCCTACCACAATCGCATCAGGATGAATGCGATTGTGGTACAACGAATGCAAATTAGCTCAAGGCTACAATCCAGAGAGGTGTGTTCCTATGACGTGCACTCTCCCAGCCAAATAAACAATAAATACAACATAAACATCTGTTTTATTACGCCTCACAGTGGTTATAATTGTAAAGATGTGTA